TGTACTACATTATTTGAAATATTTGAATTAAGCCATGTTTCACTTACTGCTATAAAATCATAATCTGTTGAGGAGAAATAATCTACAAAAGCAACAAAATTTGCTAACAAAGACCTTACATTAACATGACACAATTTAATATTACCAATAACCATACTAATATTCACAATAACAAGAATTAAGTGTATTTAAATAAAGCACTATGTATAATCACGTAATACGAAAAATTGTACAAAAAACTTGCATGTATGTATTACAATAAATTAACAAAATTATTTAGGATTAAACTAATAAAATAAGAGTAAGATAAAAAAAATAAAATAAGCAGCCTGCCCGTTCCCACCCCTGTATAGAACAGTGAAGAAACAAAGAAAAAAGACAGCAAATAACATTAAACCCAAATCCTGAATTTGCAAGTAACAAATATAATTTTCCTTTTTCCCCATTTCCCGCTTTATGATCATTACGATTAATAAATTGGTAGTAATTATTTTCAAGCAAATCTAACACAAAAAATAGCATTAATTAACAATATATTAAAAAAGAAAAATAAATCAATGAATAAATTCATGTAGTCCCGCCTGGGGTATTATCAGCTACGTTTTCGGGTGCATTGTTTATCTCTAATTGCAGATTTAACCATTCCTCTTCAGAATGTATTGGAATCTTCCGATCATTTAAATTAATATAAACAACTCCTCCTTGAGTCCATGTAGATTTTCCCACACTTTCTTTTACATTTTTAAATAAGGAAAGAGTGTTGGGGCATAACCTTTCGGTCATCAATATTTTGGTTCCTTTCAGTTTTTTCTTAGAATAGAACAGCTGATCTCTCATCCATCGATGAACGAACTCGACACATACAGGCCGGTGTTTTTTACCATTAAGTTTTTTTCCCAAGCGATAGCACTGTTTTAAATCGCTTTTTTTGACATCGGTATTCAATTTATTTAAAAATATATGCATTACCTCTTCATATAAATTATTACGATCTTCATTAATGCCATGCAAATAAGGGCATACGCATTTTGAGACCTATGAATGTTATCCACCATTTTCAATTGCTTTTTGGTTTCTTCATGCAGTTTTTGAAGTTCACTTTTCAATTCTCGGATAGAAGATAAGAGAGTTGACTCGAACTGTTTTAATTTGTTACTCAATGCACTACTTTCGCAATTATGTAGAGTAGATTCTGCACTGGTAATGGCTGCTACATTTTTAAGTTCACTTAAGCCTCTAGTTATTACACCTTCTAGAGATTCAACACGTGCATTTAAGTTTTTCACAGTTTTATGTTGCACTTTTGGCGGCATTTCAAAACTATTTTAAGATTGCACTTCCAGATTACTAATAAGAGGTTTAGAAAACACTTTCCACATAAAATTCAATAGTTTAGGACGTTAAAATTGTCTCTTAACAGGAACAGCAAACAAAGCAGCGTACTACAAGCGAGGCGACATCTTGAATCTTGTATCTTGAAATGTCCGGCAGTATCTGAATCAAAATCGATTAATACGTTAGTTACAAAATTCAAAAAATGTTCACGAACTTTGAGGGCATCTAGCAGCCAAACGAAGCGATTTCGGATATTGGTGGATTGGCCTAAATCTGACTATTTTGAGTCCACCCACAGCCCGTTGCCACCATAATATCGATATTACGGAGAATTCTCGATTATTTTTTAATCGTTTGAACAATCCTTTCGACCATTTGATTTAAAGGGTTGTTTTGGTTCTGTCAGCGAACAATCCTAGAACAATTCAGAATAGTTACCTACCAAATTGTATTGTCAGTATGTCTTGGTTTAAATGTTCATATGAATGGAATGGTCAACCAATTTGAACAGTCCTAGAAACGTTCTGTCGGAATCAAAACACACCTAAAGTATGCATGGTGACGAAAAGATGTACCATGTCCGGAACAACCGTATCAGATGCGCCGAAATATTTTAATACTCTTCAAAGAATACTTACTTAACTTTAGCTTGACCTGTCCTAGAGTTGATGAAGAGTCAATAAAGCAAACCCTTTCGTAGATTCGGCAAAATATAAATGGATGCAAGGCCATAGATTAATTGTATACAGCCAAAAGTGAAAAGGTTCGTTGTTCGGACTGGCTACAGTTGAAACACATTGATTCGTTCAATATTGTCAGATATTCCAGACCTGAAGTAATTATGTATATCCAAGTTTTTTATTTAATAATAACATGTTCACCAGCAAGTAGTGTTATCATTGATTGTGATGATTTGATATAACATCTGCATGCGTCTTTTCATCGTCATTGTGCTATCTATTTTTGACTCAACCTTCTTAAATATTGGATCACGGCAGGTAACCTGACGAAGCGTTTAACGAACAGCATTCGATGCAATAGTTTCTAGTGTAATAACGCAAGTTCCTAATCGACGATGCTTGTTCAAATGTATCTGTTCATATTCGATGTCGAAATCGTAACCAATCATTCGAAATGCCTAACGTCGAAAATATGCATAAATCGATCTGAGGAATAAAGTGTTGATCCTATATGAATTTGAAACCCTTCTAGACTGTGTGATCAATGAGAAAGCCTCTTTCTCGATCTGGTTTTGTTTGGTTATTTCTTTATTCTTGTGGAAATTTTCATTTTCAATTGCGTGTCGTTGTAAGAGGACATCGCCATTTTCCGAAATTTCTAATACTGAAGATGCTTAAGGACGTGATAAAGACTATGGTCATGTCTGATGCTACGACGAGAATATCATCTAGATATGTCATAAGCTAGTCCACTGATTCCACAAAAGCAGCTTAATCGTGCGTTGGAAAATATCTGGAACGGGCTTGAGGCCAAAAACAAGCTGATTGTAATGAAACAATCCTCAATGATTGGTGACTATTAAACGGTTGACTTTCTTGACTCAAAAGTAGATGATGATATGCATTCGAGAAGTCGTGTTAATTGAAAATTGTACTTTACTAGAACTTTGCGATAATCTTCATATGCCAGAAGAGATAATCGTTCGAGGGCAACATTGTTAAGGCCATTCTCACCGTTAGCGCGACGTAAAGTAAATATCAGAAAGACCATAGTATTAAGCTTTATGAAATTTTTCTTCTTTAACGATGTAACTAATGATTTCGCAATAGCTGATTCCGCGTAAGCAAGCGCACCCAAGTGTTTAAGTTATCTATTGCTATGGTCCGACATTGGTCCGGATCGTTGTTCCTTCTTAGGCAAAACTTCTAATGAATAAGTATATTCATATCTTCATCATTATCCAGAGTACTTTTCTATGCAAATTTGCTATATTGTTAGGTGATAATATATAAGATAATGCCTTTTACCATTAGTCTATTCAGCTAGAATTATTTTTTTTGTTCTAAGTTATTCTTAATTTTTAGGTTGCCAATGGAATTATTTCTTTACCATATGTACATATTTGTATTAAAAAAAATATGACTTCATTTGATAAGAATTTTAGGAAAATTTTTAATATTAATTTGCTTTAGCTTAGTACCTTTAAAACAATGTATAAGAACTAATATGTTTGAATTACGTTTCCACTGTTTTGCGATCTTGATTAGTTATCCAAGTCAAGGTTTTTGTGGGATAAAGATCAATAAATAAAAGAACACTATATTTTAAATCATTGCCAACGTTTCGGTGTTATTTTACACCACCCTCAGGGCTCTAAAATACAAACAATATTTTTAATAAAATTCGTTAAGGTATTAAAATAAAAAAACAAATACATTTACAATAATTCTAAAAAATTTGTTACCATAAAACCCGAAAAAGAAAAATTCTAAAACAGCTCTAAAAATAACATAGGTATTACTCACTCACCGAAATTTTAAGTGTCTTTTGTCCAACTTAACAGTTCTAAATATTAAGAAGATGGTATCTAGATACTAATATGTGTATTTATAATTCATGGAACAATTTCAGTGCGGTTTTCTTTCACAGTAAAAATTGTTGTAACGTCTTAGCAGAATGACTGTAGAAAAATACGTTGATTCTAATGTGTGTAGACATCATGCTTCTTTTTCCTCTTACTTTTTTCCCTTTCTTTTCCCTTTTATTTTTTATTTTTTACTTTTCAATCCAGCACATTTATGAAAAAAAAAGTCTAAACCTGAGTAAACCAAAATACTGTTATCTAACGAAGAAGGATATAGATAATTTAAACTTGGTTTATTATAATTTAATTGATAAAATTCTCTCTAACAGTATTTTGGTTTACTCAGGTTTAGACTTTTTTTTTCATAAATGTGCTGGATTGAAAAGTAAAAAATAAAAAATAAAAGGGAAAAAGAAAGGGAAAAGGTAAGAGGAAAAAGAAGCATGATATCTACACACATTAGAATCAACGTATTTTTCTACTGTCATTCTGCTGAACAGTACCTAAAACGTTACAACAATTTTTACTGTGAAAGAAAACCGCACTGAAATTGTTCCATGAATTATAAATACACATATAAGTATCTAGATACCATCATCTTCTTAATATTTAGAACTGTTAAATTGGACAAAAAAGACACTTAAAATTTCGGTGAGTGAGTAATATCTGTTATTTTTAGAGCTGTTTTAGAATTTTTCTTTTTCGGGCTTTATGGTAATTGTGACAGGAACAATTTTTTTAGAATTATTGTAAATGTATTTGTTTTTTTATTTTAATACCTTAACGAATTTTATTAAAAACATTGTTTGTATTTTAGAGTCCTGAGGATGGTGTAAAATAACACCAAAACGTTGGCAATGATTTAAAATATAGTGGTCTTTTATTTATTGATCTTTATGCAACTAAAATCTTGACTTGGATAACTAATATGTTTGATTGAAAGTTCATAAATATGTTACGTGATACAAATATAGGTACCTACATATTTTTCTCACTATTTGCGTAGAGCTACGTTATCAGAATTCATTAAACATTTTGGAAAATGTTCATTTTATGAACAGCATAGATACATATAAATAAATAATGATTTTTTTTTATATATATTATTTATTTATTGCAGATCCAAACTCCCCAGAATACATTTATCGGCATGTTTACCAGAACCATAAGAACCCCATATATTTAGTGCCATACAGCGCATTACCTGAAAATTTTGGTAAGTTATTTATTTTATTAAACCTGATAACAGCGTCAGATCCATGTCAGGAAGAAAAATATTTATTTTATATATCTTCTCCATTTAATAGATGGCAGATTAAACACTCTGAATATTGTTTAATCTGCTAAAACAAACAGTAAACACCAGTTTCATTTAAATTTTAAAGTATTTAAAACGCAGGTATGTTATACAGGGTAGCCCATCGAAAACGTACCGCAAGGTATTACAGGGTAGTAATGAAGTTTTCGGCAAAATCCAAAGACAGGTAAAGTTTGCTTCTGAGGGGGACAACTTTTGGCGCAAAAAGCATAGCAAAATCTTCAACCCCCTAAGTGGGGGTGCCATCCCCCAAATTTTTTTAAATGGGAATGNCAGGAACAAATTTTTTAGAATTATTGTAAATAATTTAATGTAATGTAATTTATTTTTTTATTTTAATACCTTAACGAATTTTATTAAAAACATTGTTTGTATTTTAGAGTCCTGAGGATGGTGTAAAATAACACTAAAACCTTGACTTGGATAACTAATATGTTTGATTGAAAGTTCATTGTGAAACTTCATAAATATGTTACGTGATACAAATATAGGTACATATTTTTCTCACTATTTGCGTAGAGCTACGTTATCAGAATACATTATACATATAGATACATATAAATAAATAATGATTTTTTTTATATATATTATTTATTTATTGCAGATCCAAACTCCCCAGAATACATTTATCGGCATGTTTACCAGAACCATAAGAACCCCATATATTTAGTGCCATACAGCGCATTACCTGAAAATTTTGGTAAGTTATTTATTTTATTAAACCTGATAACAGCGTCAGATCCATGTCAGGAAGAAAAATATTTATTTTATATATCTTCTCCATTTAATAGATGGCAGATTAAACACTCTGAATATTGTTTAATCTGCTAAAACAAACAGTACCAGTTTCATTTAAATTTTAAAGTATTTAAAACACAGGTATTGTATACAAATAGGTACTTAGTTTGTACAATTGTCTCAAACAAAAACTAAATTATGCAAAATGTTTCACTAAGGATAGGACATTGATGAAGACAAAATGGGATAATAATTGATCCAAGTAGGTATGTCACTTTGAAAGACAATTTTGAAAATAGTTCAGTTTTATACTCATCGAGGTTAATACCTGGTGGGGAAAATATAACATAGATTTTTATTTTTCACTTTTGGGTCTAAAATATCAATATATGAAAAACAAAAAAGTTTACCCAATGAATAAAATGAAAATGGCGATCTCTGCCGACAAATACAAAATTATTAGGTACTACTCGTATTTTCCAATCATTTTCCTGAAAGTATGAGTATCTAGGTAGTACTTGAATTTTTAACGATAGAGTAGCGTGTATAACCAGTCATTGATTTCATAAGCTAAATAGTTTACTCGAGGTTTCAGTTTCATTAATTAAACTATTAATAAAAAGGTCCATAAAGCTTCTGCCGTTAACACCTAAGATAACACTCTTATCCGTTAAACGCCATCTATGTATGTATACTCTGAAGCTCAACTATTTAATAATGTCAAACTTATGAAAATGAATTAGCTACAGAAAAATCTGCTAGTCTACGACCTACGTGAATGAAATTTGTTGCATAACTTCGGAGTTGCATCTTTCTGAATTAGTAATTACAATTTTGTAGAAACTGTGTAAAATGATTGTGCTATTTGTTTATTTTATATAAATACATTTTTTTAAGTTTTATAATTGATACCGTGAAAATAATTTCCGGAACGATGAAGTTTTTAACTTTCTGAATTCATCTAGATAACTACAATTATAATACCTACTTTATTTATTCCACTTCAACTTAACTCTAAGATCAATAATGATGATTCATGAAAATAATATCTTAATAGTTCCTTTTGTCTTTGGAATGGGTTGGTTTAAGTTAATATCGATACAACTGATTATCCGTACTAAAATAAGGTTAATAACTATAGAAATATTTTACAACGTAAGATGGAAAACGTTCAACTTATTGAATACAAAAAAATAGTTCTAATTCTGAACATTTAATTAATCAGTTTGTTTTGTGATACCTATTAACCGAAAGCCCATTGCAAATACAAATGGAGTTACTCCAAATTCACTCACATCAGAACATACTTGAGATGATCATTGATATGCTCAGAACGCCTAGATAACCAATTGGAGGCTAAATTTTAATAAAAATTAACATGGATGATACTATTCCTGAATTTGCTCGTAAAAAAGCAAGACAAGTGTTTAATTAATTATTTATCTATTTTCTTTCTAGTCTTGGTTTTTACATTTTGTAGATATTATATATTTGATATTAATTTCCATTTTCCTTTTGGTTCAACGAGGTTTTCAACAGATACCCCAAAACCAAATTTTTACAATAAAGAGTAAAAGTTGTTGGCGAATAATGTCGCTGTAGGAAAATGTTAGCTCATGCCGGCCCTGGCTAGATGTGAAGAATAAGACACATTTAGAATTGTGTAAACCAGGGGAGGAGAAGGCCATAAATATTTTTTTGTTGACATTTCAAATTTTCTTTGATGTATAACCTACAAATATACTTATTTCTTTAGATTTTTTCTTCTATTTCATATAAAGAATAAGTATTTAAAAGTTTTGTATAACACCAGCAAGAATAGACAAATTATATTATGCGTAAATAACACAGTGGTTCTCAATAAGTTATTAAAAAAAATTTACTTTTTTATTTCTAGTGTTCCGCAACAAAAATATTAATTACGGTAAACTGCACCGCTATTTAAAATATAGTGTGCGTTTCAGATTCATCCTACATATTACGAATTTTCTGAACAGAACAGTCTGTTGAAACATTTTGTAAAATTTTCAAAGATTTATAATGATAAATGTATATTTACAAGTACCTATTTCGGAAATTACCTAATATATTTTTATACGTACGTACTTTCTAATATCTAAAATCTAAATACCTATCTAAAATTCTGAGTTTTAGATACTTACACTTCGAAATAAAATAAAAAGTAATGGAATAGTAAGTTTCCTTGTCGTAATTCTATTATTAACTGTATAATTTTTATAAATTTAAAAGTAATACCTAAGGCTGTGTACACACGTAGACACTTTAAGTAGATACAATCTTGATTAAATTTCGCAATGTTTATGAGATTTAGAGCGATGTCAATATATATTGACGTAGTTAAGTGAAATTTAATGTCGCAATTCACCACTTGTAACGACAACAGTATCTACCGACATCGCTCTAAATACCATAAACATTGTGATACTTAATCTCAAAATCTTATCTATTCACTTGAAGAATCTACGTGTATCTACAGCCTAACATTAATATTTTTCCAGATTTTTCCCGCTCAGACATTACAGTGAGAGGGGATTACATCATTTTGAAGGATTTGCATGTTCTGGAACAACCAGTGATACGTCCCCCTTCAACACCAACTACTCCAGTATCAGCCTCGTTCCCCCAGATACACTTTGAGGGATACCAGAGGCAGCCGCCATATAACCCAAATGTATATTAATATTTTATATTGTTATTTTGTAGATACTCACAAAACCGCAAAAACTATTTTATAAGTTTTTATAATGATATTTTGAATATTAGTAAGTAATTTTTAATCGTTTATATTATAACAATATTTATTTTAATGTTAAGGAAATGTTCCCCAATCAAGGATATGAGAAATATACTCGATACACAAACAAATCATTTTCATTTTTTTTTCTAGACACTCCTTCAGCTTCAAACAGATAAGAATACCTACACAAATCATCCGTCCGTAAAAATAATACATAATAATAAGACAATGTTTTTCAAATATTTTTTCGAAAACTCAAAAATCACCTCCTAATTTAGGTAAGTCCGGGACTGTCTAAAGAAGATATTGAAAATTATCACCATTACTTTTATTCACAAATTATCGCTCCGCATAATCACGCCTCAGTCATGCTGTTAAATTCAGGTTCATGCTAACTTTTCATGTAAACCCACAGGTAACAATCTCATGAACAATCTGACGACCTTGGAGGTCATAATATTAGTTCATTGCGACCTATGTATTCCACCTATTGGAAAATTATTTTTTTAGATAATTCCGCACTTCACTACTAAAATGAAGTGGCGCACTGCCGTGTACAGGGTTAGTCAACGATTGGTTAAAGTAGCTTTACTCCGAATTGCTAAAATTTATCAAAAAACTATTTCTACAGGGTGATAAGTACGCTAACAGGACACATTTTAAAATATACAGGGTGCTCCAAAAATTAGTGACAGACCAAACTTAATTTTTTTTAAATGGAACATCCTGTATTTTACAACATTTTTAGATTCTACGTTTAACTTGAAACATTTTGATATAAAGTTTCCTATATCTAAATTTAATACTTAGTTTCTGAAATAATTGGAACTAAATAAAAAATATTGCATTTTTGAACCTGTATTTAACAGTAGCTATCCTCATTATTTTTAAGAATTAAAACAAGATTTTTGGTACCGTGTTACTGTAAAGGTGGCTTGAGAACGTTATGGATTCAAATTTTGATTAATGCCTACAGGGTGTTCATAAAATAATGACAGATTTGAAGAAGTTTAAACTTACCAACAACAAGAAGCTGCGTTTTAGTTCCATTTAAAACTAAACCATGTGCCCGAGACAATATTAACATAGCTCAATGGAGCTTTGAGCTTTATAGTAAAAAATGCAAGATCTTTCAATAACGTTACTGCATTGAAATGTTTACTCACTAGTTCGTTCTAAGTTAGGATACTCCAGTCTTGTATGATACCCTTACTAATTCAACGATGTTTTCTTAAACTTTTAAGCTTTCAAATTGATGGTTCTTATCCAAATAGAGGATAACAATAGGCTCCTGTTAGATATATTTACAGTCTTTACAGACTAGAAGAATACACACTTAATAATTTATTTTTCCTGTTTAAACCCTTTCATGTCAATGTCGACTCAAATGTCGCCACACGACAGAGGAATCGGTCAGCAAGTGCGAGCGGTGAGTTAGTTGGCCCGTGCTCTTCACAAATGCCCAAGTTTCTTTCAACTCATATTTTTTTTACATTCTTTCATATAATCTGTAAGATTATGTTTTTCATCAGTAAAGTGTTCAGTAGATGCAAGTAGTTTGTAGCAATACTTTCTTCTTCAAAATCGTACCCATCCTCATATGAAATTAACAACTACGTTACACTATATAATTTGTTATTTGTAGCAACTAAGTTTTTATATTGTAGACTTGAATGAATTAATGTATTTTCTAGTTTATATATTTGTATTTATGTACTTAGTATCATAATATTTTACATCTTTAATGTTTACCCGTTTTTGTCCTGTAATTGTAATTATTTCACCGATCCTCTATCTCCACTAACACTCATGTTAGTGCACCTTTAGTAGGTATGTAGCCAGTAAATCGCCTGGATGTAATTAATGAACAGAACAGAAAATAACATATGGAGTTCATTTCGTACCGCAACTCATAGAATAAACGTACATTCTGGCAAAAAGTAAGGGAACCCATATCAAAAATTTCAAACAAATTTTAAATGTCCAAAGACGAAATAAAGTAGACACGCTGTAACAACCAATAGAACTGCCTTGATACTGATTTTGGTCTAGTGTTGGTTATAAGGCTGCTAAGGATGGAACTGCTCCTGAGGCAATGGAGTGAGATAAATCAAATAGTGCGTGACTTTGACCACAAAGCAAATACTAAGACTGTGAATTATAATTTACAATACATGACGTAACATATGTTATATAGCATTTTGCTGAAGTGTAAACGTACTTATTCTCAGCTCCAAAAATGCCGAATTACGAAGCAGCAAAACACCATTTGCAGGAAGTTTTACTTTTCCTGTAATTAACAGAAAAGAGATGCTAAAAGTCATAGTGCTGTTGAAAACTTATGGTGAACATACTCCATCGATAAAAACGTGCGCGTATTGGTTCTGATGTTTTAGAAGTGGTGATTTCGATACAGTTGACAAATAATGCCCTGGTCAAGCGGTCAACTGCTGAACTTGTTTAAATGCACTCGGTATTATTCAAAAGCAAGGAAATTGGATAGTATATTGGATGTTGAAAGTCGATATTTCTTGTGTAAACAATTACTTCAATGACAAAAAAAGAAAGGGTTTTTTGCATCGCATCATAACAGGCAATAAAAAATGGATATGCTATGTCTTAAGCTTGGAAAATCCTGGGGTTTGCCTGGTTGTGAGTCAACATCGACAGTAAGGTCGAATATTCATGGTTCAAAGCTCATGCTCTGTATTCAGTGGGACCAGCTTGGTGTTGTGTACTATAAGCTGTTTCAACCGAATGGTGAACGCTACCGAACACAATTGATGCATTTGAATCGTGCATTGAAGGAAAGACGGCCGCAATTCGAGCAAAGGCGTGAAAAAGTAATTTTTCAACATGTCGACACTTGACCACATGTTGCTCATGAAATCAAAAAATACTTAGAAATACTAGAAATGTGTCGCGGACATGTCCATCGGACATGTCGTGAAAAGTGAACATGGCCTGAGGACACTTTTCAAGATTGAAAAGTTGGGAATTATTTGTTACATTCACAATTCCCACAAAAAATGTTTGAGGTACATGTAAAATTGAAGATATTTAGCCATTTTCTTGTAATTTTGTTAGTAATTGTTTAACTGAAACTGACATTTTAAAAATATAACCTTTTTTATATGTCCACATTTTATTATTTTTGGCAAAGTTAACGATTAGTAAATAGTAATCAGTTGATTCTTAATTTAATATTTAATACAAAATAGTTTATATATGAAGTATGACGCCAAAATCAAGAGTTTGGTTATATTTTTCTGAATTGAGTAAAAATCATTATAAATGCTCAAAAACAATTTTTAAAAAATCCAGTAGGATAGAAAAACATTTAAATAAGTGTATTGGCTGTCCTGGGAAAATTAGAAACCAGTTTATAAGAAGTATAAAGGTCGGTAATAAGTAAAATATATCGACACATATTCATTAGAATAAAAGTAATATTTTGCTTTGTGACCCTCAAGCAGTGACCTGTGAATACATGACGTCACTCACAGGTGCCTTATTAGATTCAAGGTCAAAAGTACTTTTCCCGACATGTCCGGACATTTCATCGACATGTTCATATCCGTAACACACTTTTCCGAAAAGTGCCCATCTCTAAGAAATACTGAAACGGGATGTTTTACCACACCTATCATATTACTCTATCGGATTACTGCTTGATCCAATCTACGGAACACGGTCTGACTTAGCAAAGCTTCCAATCTTACGAAGATACGACAAATTGGATTGATTAGTGGATAGCATCAAAAAATGAGTTGTTCTTTCGATGCATAATCCGCGTGGTGCTAAAAACATGGGAAATAGTGTCTAGCGATGGACAATACTTTGAAAATAATGTATACAATTTTCCTCAATAACGCCTTGAATTTAGACAGGGTTCGTAGTTCAAAAGTAATATAGAATTCCCTGACTTTTCCAGGTTTTCTCTGACATATAAAAAAAATCCAGGTCATTTTTACATTCTATTTGGTGTTTATGCATTAAACTTTTTCTGGACTGGACTCCACAATTTTTTTTTAAACTCGAAGAATCTTATAAAGGTTTCAAAACCACAAATAAATTTCTCTTTCAAGAACCCAGGGCCGGCTTTCACAAAATTTCCAGTTGCAAGCATCAAATTCCCTGACTTTCATGAATAATTTTAAAATTCCCTGACTATTCCCTGTTTTTTATGAAGAATAATTAATTCCCTGACTTTTCCCGGTATTCCCGGTTTTCCAGGCCACTACGAACCCTGTTAGAAAAAAAATCCCTCAAAATTGATTCACAGATCTAGTCATATTCATATTTTCTAAAAAATGTGAATTATTTTTTCTTCAAATATTTAGGTTACCATACTTTAAAATAGATTTTTTTGCAAATGAATTAAGGACAACATAGTATCGAGACAAAATTGGGAAAAAATATTTATTTTATACAGTCTTACAAAGTTTAAACAATATATACATAACTAAATGTGTTCACTTGCCTCTGTAAGGTTTAAGTTTTTAAGAATAGAAGAAATTTAAGTTAAATGCCCATCATATTTCCCGAGGTCCGAAAACTTAAACCCATGTAGGTACGTACTAACATAAAAATATTTGTCTTAGAAAATTAACGTATATAAAAAATAAACTTTATATTCTATATATTCATATTAATATATCACATTCAGAAAACATACATATGTACGGTATATAATTTAAATAATAATAACTACAAAAAACATAATTAATGTCCTTCGTATGAAATAAGAGCCTGTTGAAAAGCTGCTTCTTGGACAATTAACTTATTGTATATTTATTAACATTTATATAGAGACGTTTAAGTTAGATTAAGATAATAATTAGGATGGCTTACACAAGATATATAGTGTATACTGTAATTTCAATATCAGGGAAAAATCTGAAAAACTAAAGGCAGAGAATTTCAGATAGCAAGAAATTTTTACCATTTTTTTTTTTTTTCAGAAAACCACACTTTTATAATAAAAATAATGATTTATTTACAAAATCATAGCAATAAACAATTTTTAGCTTACATAATTTTTCTGATTAAATTTTATCCATTTGTTGCAAGGAATGCCTCCAAACTGTCCTGATAATTAATATACCACAATTCTTTAATAATTTCATTCCAAACCGCCTATAACAGATATACATAAAGAGTCTTTAGCTCCAACTGATTTCGATGATCCGCAACTTTTGACGTGTGCGATACACATTTACTGTGTTGCTTTGATTGTTAATGAATCTAATGGACTTGAAAATACGAGCGATTATTGGCTGTTTGTCAGAACAACCAATATAAGAGCTCACATGTTTGAATCCACAACCACAAATACAATGAAAGGAACATGACGTTCATACCTTTGTAAACCAAAAATGTTTTTTAAAAGTTATATTCTGCACATTAATTTTTTCCTGATCAAAATGAGTCATAATTTTGTAAATTATTGTAAAAATTTACAAAGATGATTTTCTTTTCATTGTTACAAATTGTTCTATATGATTGATATGATGTGACTGTAAGATTAATAGCAGAAGGGAGTTATGTATTTATCTATATATCTTGTAATCTAACTTCTAACAATTCTCATATGAATATAATTTTGGTTTTGTAAACCTAAGTCCTCTATAATTTTACATGAAATATTTTTTTTAAATAAGAAATAGGCTTTAACACCAGATATTTATGCACTTGTTACAGAAAGTGCTAATATGGTGTAACAAAAATTTTTAATCGTCTTAATTTGGATATTCTACAGACATGCAATGTCTTAATTTCTGAAATGAAGGAAGTTAGGGCAATTTTTTGCTCAAATATACAATATATTTTACATTATACTCTTGGAATTTGCCAACTTCAATGAGGTTTCCTTGTAGTTGTGCCATTTCAGATCTTTACTGATTTAAAGATTTTATAAAAATAATAAATTTTTAAATAATCCTATTATACATGATTCCACTGAATTATATAAGGTTATTTATTTTATAAAAAGTTTTGACAATATAAGAAAACAAACGGACAATATTTCAATAAAACGTTTTTATAACACAAATATAAACATCAAAACTCACTCTAACATATTCTTACTGTAACTGAACGTATTGGCTTTATTTCAGTTACATATGAATAAACCTCACTGTCTTTGAAAAGTAACAAACCAATAAAGCGATCAACCTGGCATTACCTATTTAACTGTAATTGGGATTGTAAGGTGCCTGTTTTCCATAACCTTCTTTAACAGGAAGTGGTTGCACTGGTGGGCTAGAAACTGCTACATCATAAGGAGGTGGATTAGCACTATAATTGCCGTGTCCATCAGGAGGATATGGAGTTACTCCTCCTGGAGGATATGGAGTTACTCCTCCTGGAGGGTATGGTGTTGCTCCTCCTGGAGGGTATGGAGTGCCACCAGTTGCAGGTGCGTAATGGGTTATCCCACCTGTTGGAGGATATGGAGAAATACCTACAAACAAATTTGCCAATTCATAAACAATGAATACCTAAAGTTCTACAAAAGCAGAAGAAATGCAGTGTAGAAATTAAATACAGCACTCAACTATAGAGGGTCTTTCAGGATTAAGTCGACAAACTTTGAGGACATATTCCTCATGTAAAAATAAGTAAAAAATATATACAGTGAGGACGGGGGTATACCTTGAAATTGAGTAGATATATTTCAGTAAAACTTGGTGTGACTTATGATTAGATAGTTGTAGCAATATGTCTCAGTAATAAGTATTACTAGTCCATCAGTGGAGGAGATATGAGTAGGCGATCTAGTTAATTCAGCATATGAAGCAAAAAATGAGAACCGATACGATTTTTGATTGTACACTTTAAAAAAATTTCACTCAAATTTCACTCAATTTTACTCAATGATGTATCAATTTCTGTCCACACCCGATTTGAGTGAAATTTTCACTCTATTACTATGAGTGCAACTGAGTGAAACTATTGGCATCAGAAATGAGTGAGTTTTACTCAAATCCGAGTTACTGCCAACTATCAATTAAGGGACTTTTGACTCTATTCAGACTTTGTTTTTAATCAACTAAATATTGAGCGCGAAAATAAATCACTCATAAATAGTGATGAGACTACTCAAATGAAAATTATCGATTATATCGATTATGAAAATCTCTCGAGATATCTCGAGTGATCATATAAATTCATTCGATTATTCGGAGACGAATGACAGTGGCCACAACGTTACTAACGTCAATCGTCACTCGTCACCGAATAACGCAAACGCACTGCTCGAGCGAGAGTGCAGGTGTTTCGATTGTTACAACGCTCTAACGAGCTACAAAACCTCGAGATAAGACGGCCGAAAAGATGGATAAGACAATCGAATATCACCGCATAAAAAAGATATGCAGTAATTTTATGAGTTGCATCGCACGGTTTTGAAGGGCGGTTTAGAAGGGAGCTTTATTTAGCGAGGATAGAAATTCATATGAATGAAAATTATACAAAAATTATGTTTTCTATAATTATAATTTTTTTTTCAAAAGTCCAAACAATGGATTTCTTTAGGCGGCGACTACTCACTTTAAACACATACTACTGAATAACTCAACTGACAACGAAGAAATGCCGCAATCCGCGAAAGTCATTCATTTACCTAGCGTCGACATGTTTCGCATATAATTTGGGATAGGTCGGAAATTTTCGAAGTGGACTTTCGATTATATATCATTCGAATGATCATTCAATTATAAAATTAATTCGAACGGTAACCTCTCGATTATTTAATTCATTCGATTATTCCCATCACTACTCATAAATGATTAATTAGGATATACAATGTTGAAATTAATTCACTTCGTGGGGCCTCCTCCTGTCCTGGCTGGGACCCGACAGCCGAGACTTGCCGACTAAGGCTTTATCTCCTGGCGATCAAGCTTTCCTAGAGTATCTAACGGTTCACTATTAACTGTGGTCGAGATTACAGATACAATATGTAAGTGGTGCCATCTTCACGGCGCCATTCAAATTACTCGAAATTAATATACATTTAAACGGACCATATAAATACAGATTTGAAAATATCGAAAATATATCTAGATAGGACAATAATTAATTATTATTAGGTCTAATGTTTGGACTATGGTGGTAACCAGCGTTGGGCATTAATCAATTAAATTTTCAGTCAATTAAGTAATTGATTAAAAAAGTAATTACGATTAATTTAATTGTAGTTAAAATTAATTGCAATTGAACTATTAATTGCACGTTGTAATTAATTTATTTGGATTAATTTATATTAATTGTGTCTTGCAACTAAATCAATTACAATTAACTTTATCAATTATTGTTATAAAAAACAATTAAAACTAACAATTACCCTACTTTGATTCAGACATTTTTTCAATTCAACGCACCATTTACGAGTTATAAGACTTTTTTTACTGTATGACGTCAGACACCTCTTGTTTCCGAAATTTATTTTCGACACACGGACTTTGGACCTTTTCCATTCAACGCAGAATGAACAATCAGAACCGGAGGTGTTGGGGAGATTTTTGTAATTATTTTTTCGATTCAACGCACCGTTTCCGAGTTATAAGGTATTTTCTACTGTATGATGTCAGACACTTCTTGTTTCCGAAATTTATTTTCGACATACGGACTTCGGACCTTTTGCATTCAACGCAGAACGGACAATCTGAACCAGAGGTGTGGGGAGATTTTTCCTATTATTTTTTCGATTCAATGCACCGTTTCCGAGTTATAACCACTTTTTTATTCTATGATGCCACACATCCTTGGTCCCGAATTTTTTTTTTCGACATGCTGAATTTGGACCTTTTGCACTCGATCACCAATCCCCCACCATGGGAGATTTTTTTATATTTCAAGTCGTTTCTGAGGTGCAAGCAAAAACTGTTTTTTTTTAATAAGTTATGACCTCTCACCCACTGAGCGCTCTACTCAGAACCAGAGGGAGATTTTTTTATATTTCCAGCCATTTCCGAGTTACGAGCAAAAACTGTTTTTTTTTTCTCATACGTTGTGACACTTGTGACGTCATAGCTCAATGACGAAGGCTAAAAAGGCCCCATGCTCTACTCCACGCCTCCCCTAATGAGACGGGAACAGACAGAGGTAATGCGTTTGGATATGAAAAAGGGTATGGAATACGAGTTTGCGTGAAGAATTTATTTAAAGAGTACCTATATTTGAGTGAAGGTACTCAGTTTTAGTTTAAATATAATCACAAATGAGTAAAATGATCAAAATGCCCAATACTGAGTGAAAATGTACTCAATAATTTCACTCAGTGAATGCACTCTAAACTTTTATTGCTTTCACTCACACCGATTTTCTTGTAATGTAATATTTTCTGTGGACAAAAAATTTATCTTATAACGTGTACGAGGTTACACACCGGAACATCATGAATCAGTGACCACATCAAATATAAATAGTGACAAGGTTAGCAGATCTCCAGTTTCAGAGTAACTTCTGAAGAAGAGAGTGATATGTCTCTCGAAACGTCAAGAGTTGTAAATCGACATGGCAACCAGCCCGGAAATCATTCAACCATTTACGACAGCCACGGAAGCCTACAAACAAAATTACTTTTTTCAAAATGAGTGCCTCGGGCTTATAAAAAAGCTTGACATCTAATTATGAAACTGGTGCTCGACCGACACTGAAGTGGAGTTAATTCTTTACATGTCTGGACTATCCTTGCTCTTAGATTTTCGATTTACAATAATTAAAACAAATGCTCAACTTGAGTATGTGCCAATTGCTGCTTGAGAATACGCTAAATTCATTTTGTACATTTTTAATCTCTAATTTCTCTGATCACATTTTTTAAATCTGTCATCCAAAAGCTGCTCATAAGTTATATATTTTAAATGCAAGCACAAAATGTGTTGGAGAATGGTTAATAGGTCACTTAGATTGGAAGAAAGCGGTATTAGGGGTCAACAGTTTAGGACCGCTTCTATTTGTTCATATGTTATCGATAATGCGTCTCATGTGATGCTTCGCGGATTTGACTGTTGCTTCCCATAACCCGCCGAATGATGGACTACGTGCAGATATAAAGTGCCACTTTATGTTTGTTTGTGAGATAAAGCTCGTCAAAACTTGAGGTTTTTAAATTTAGAAAAACGTTCACTATAGATTTTTTGACAAATTCCTCGCCAAGAAATGAAGCGTTTAAGTGTTTAAAAAACTTATTGTGCTTAAGTCTTCCACCAGCTCAATGTGCACTGCCTTGGTGGCGAAACAGACAAAACTGCAAAGATAGCAGCTGAGAAGCATTCGGTTTTTTTGTTTTTCCATCTTTGATCTGGAATGGGCCAGTTAAGTCGACACCACATACAGGATGTTTCAGTTTGGGTGAATCAAACTTTAACCACAAATAGACTCAATAAATAATTCAGAATTGCCAGAAATTAAATATTTGGTATGCTTATAACAAATTGATTCAAATTTGGTGTAATGTTAACATTTATACATGTGCATAATTTACTGTAAAATTTATAAATTTTTGTAGGTCAGTGACGTAGGAATGGGTAGTAAAGCGGGTTTTCTTTACCCCAACTTCTATGCCAATGACCTGATAATCATTTGGGATTCATTTTTAGATTCCGCAGACAATTCTACATAAAAAAGGAATACTTGTTGAAAATCGGTATAGTATATCATTTTACCGAAAATCTCAGTTGAATGGAAGACCGTTCTTCTGATAAGAAATTTAGTTTCTTAAGGATAGGAAATAAATTTTAAATTAATATTAATAATGTCACGCATTAACTTAGAATTCCAAACAATATTAAATAATGTCTTTACACTGGCGCTACAGTGCGGTGGACAGCATATTCACTGCCACTCCCTCTAGAATTTCATTTGTGCCATTCTGAAGCAATTATAGGTATCCTTGTTCATTCAATGGTCCGTTTGTTTCATACAGATATAATTTCTTTAAAAAAATTATCAGGAAATGTCATTTTATTTTAAAGATTTGAAATATTAGTTAGTGTTTGTCTTTCTTCACTATTAGCATGGAATCCCATTCGTCAGTTGGTTGTCCTAGAGCCTTATAAGCTCGTGTATTTGTAAAGTGTCCAATAAGGTTCGAAGAGTGTTGTGACTTTCAATTTCATTATTGGAACATCAAAAATTGATTTGATGTGTGTTTATTATGATTCTTTCGTTATGAAATATTTCTTTCAGAAAGTTCCAGCATAATTCGCCTCACTAATCTCAAGGGAATGTAAGATATTAACCGCCTCACCCTCTAAGCATGATTGCAAATAATAAAAACGTTGAACGTTACTTAAACTTTGGTTTGAATTGATTAGCCTGTCAAATGTGTCATAAAATTTTGGTCATATGCACCGTGAAACTCTGGAAGCTTTAGAGTTGATTGTTGTTTTTAGGAATTTTATAAGCGCAAATTAACTCTAGCTTGTCCGGTTAAGATATAAACATTTTGTTCTC